ATGTTATTGCTTGCCTGGATGTATACATTCTCAGGAGCCTCACAAATTGGATAATCTCTCTTTCTTTAAAAACTTTACCTTAAATCTGCCAATAAAAAGCATCTCCCAGTTCATTATCTATACTAGCTGCCAAGAAATATTCTGCGGCCCATTTGCTTATAAAAAATGAGGAGCCGGATCCTTATATTGTGCAAACCAGTCTCCATTTGTAGGCTGGGCACTTGAGGAAGCTGCATTAATTCTTTGGCGCCCAGGGTGCAATTTAGTCTGTACAGGGAGGGACTGTGTGGGATGAAGTTTCTTTGTAATTATGACCCCCCCCCACCCCCACCCCAATATGCATTGTGCTGTTGTGCCTAGCAGGAAAGCAGCTGGATTTAGAATCTAATGTTGGATGTTTGAAAATGAGCCCTGCCATTTAACTACTGTAATCTTGGCAAGTGACTTCCCTTCTCTCTGGGCCTCTGTTTCCTTTTCTAAACGGCAGAGATTGAGCCAGATCTGGGGTTTTTAACCTGGGGTCCATGAACTTGTTTAAAATACATATATACATGCACACATATATATATTTCAATATAATTGGTTTTCTTTATAATCCTATGTATTTTATTTTATGCATTTAAACACATTATTCTGAGAATGGGTGCTTAGGATTCACCAGACTGTGGAAGAGATCTAGGACACCAAAAAGGTTAAGAACCCTTGGGCTAGACAATCTCTGAAGTCCATGCCAATTTTAAATCCTGTCACCCCCTGCTAGCTACTGTGATTAAATGCTCTCCTCCACACATGGTAGGGTCTGTCACTCTTAAGACAAGCTTAAAATATTTATTAAGTATTATTTAAGAGGATAGTAAAAAGAATGCTGAAATTGGAATCCTAAGGCCTAGATTCCTGTCCTGGATCTGACACTTAATAAATGCATACCCTTGGGCAAGTCATTTAGCTGCTCTTTTAGCCTCAGAATCTTTTTTCTCCATTTTTATTTTTTTATTTTTTAAAATGTATTTAGTATTTTATTTTTCTCCAGTTACATGTAAAAACAATCATTTTTAAAACGTTAAGTTCCAAATTCTCTCCCTTCCTCTTTCCCCCCCATTGAGAAGGCAAGCAATTTGATATAGGTTATGCATGTGTAGTCGTGCAAAACATATTTCAATATTAGTCATGTTGTGAAAGAAAATGTAGATCAGAAACAAACTCAAGAAAAATAAAGAAAGTAAAAAAAAGTATGCTTCAATCTGTATTCAGACACCATCAGTTCTTTCTCTGGGGATGGATAGCTTTTTTCATCATCAGGCCTTCAGAGTTGTCTTGGATCACTGTATTGCTGAGAATAGCTAAATCATTCACAACTAATCATCTTACAATATTGCTGTTACTTTGTACACAATATATTTCACTTTGCATTAGCTCGTTTAAGTCTTTCCAGGTTTTTCTGAGAGCATCCTGCTCATCATTTCTTATAACACAATAGTATTCCATCACAATCACATAGCACAATTTGTTCAGCTATTCCCAATTGATGGGCATCCCCTCAATTTCCAATTCTTTGCCACCAGAAATGAGCTGCTATAAATATGTTTGTGCATAAAGGTCCTTTTCCTTTGTGTTTTTTATCTCTTTTTGGATACAGATCTAGTAGTGGTATTGCTAGGTCAAAGGGTATGCATGGTTTTGTAGCTTTTGGGGCATAATTACAAATTGCTGTAAGGAATGATTGAATCAGTTCACAACTCCACCAACAATGCATTAGTGCTCCAATTTTCCCACATCCCTTCCAACATTGGTCGTTTTCCTTTTCTGTCCTTTTAGCCAATGTAATAGGTATGAGGTAGTACCTCAGAATTGTTTTAATTTGCATTTCTCCAATCAATAGTGATTTAGAGCATTTTTTCATGTAGCTACAGATAGCTTTGATTACTTCATCTGACAACTTCATATCCTTCGTTCATTTATCAGTTGAAGAGTTTCTTTTATTTTTCTTATAAATTTGACTCAGTTCTCATTTGAGAAATGAGGTATGTATCAGAGAAACTTGCTTCAAATTTTTTTTCACAGTTACGATTGCTGAATGTATTTCCCTCCATCCTAGTCTCCCCCCCTTTATTCTATTCTCTCTCTCTTTTCACCCTGTCCCTCCTCAAAAATGTCTTGCTCTGACTACTCCCCCCCCAATTTGCCCTCCTTTTTATCACACACACCCCTTCTCTTTTCCCCTTCCCCTCCTATTTTCCTGTAAGGTAAGATAGATTTCTATACCCAATTAGTTTCAGAATTTTTTGCTGCAAAATGAGAATGATATGACTTGAATTATCTACTGCAAAGTGTCATCAATCTTAAATTGCTACAGATGTGTGAACAGTTGAAATGATAGGATTCTAGAGAAGTGTTCTCCTGAGGATGCTTGAGTGTCCTAACTCCCAACTTGAGTTAGAACCTGGGGAAATAGAGTACCTGGTCACCTGAACCAAGGAGGACATGACAATTTGTTGCACTCAGTACCTGTCAGTCCTCATTGTTCTGCAAGTGATTGAAAGTCTGAGTCTAGAAACAGGCTAGACTTTCTGCTCCCAAAGAGTTCATTTGGTTGAATGACAGGACCCCAAAACAATGCTTAATGAATGACTCGATATCAACTTGGAAGTCTCTAGCACCTCCTCAATCTGCCCTTGGCCTTGTTCTTTTCAATTTTTTTTTCTTAATGACGTCGATAAATGTTTAGACCTGCCAATCTAATTTACTGATGATATAAAGTTAGGAGGGATAGCCAGCATGTTGGGTGACAGTCAGAATTCAACAAAGATCTCAATAAATAGGTTGAAATAATGTGCTAATAAGATGAAATTTTAATAGAGATTAAGTCCTGCCATTGGATTAAAAAAAATACATTTCTCAAGTAGAATGTAGATGTGAGGTAGGTAGATAAGAGCTCATGGGATTGCTCAGGGCTTTAACTAGACTACAAACTAAATATGAATCAATACTGCAACATGGCAGCCTAAGAAGTTGATGGCATTTTAGGGTGCTTTAAGGAGGAACCCTATATAAAGTCCAGAACATGAGTGGTGGTAATCCCATTATACTTACCTCAGCAGTATTATGTGTGGTTCTGGGAGCCACTACATGAGGACTGATGAAATGATTGGCCCAGCTGATGAGATTGCATTTAACCTGGAAAAAAGAAGACTTAGAGGGGACATGAAGAGCTGTCAAGGGGAAGAAGGATTAAACTTGTTCTGTTTAGTGACAGAGGGCAGAACTAGAATACTGTGTGACATTTGCAGAGGCCAGTTTTGGCTTAATATAAGGATAAAACTTCCTAATAATTCAAGCTACCTATGAAGGCAGCCAGGTGGCACAATGGATAGAGTACTGGGCTTTGAAAGAGGAAGGCCTGGGTTCAAATAAGACACTTCCTAGCTGGGCAAGTCACTTAACCTTCTTCTGCCTCAGTTTCCTCATCTGTAAAAGGGGATAATAATAGCACCATCTTCCATGGTTGTTGTAAGGATAAGGTGAAATAACACTTGTAAAGTACTTTCCAGACCTTAAAATACTAGCTGTTATTAAATGTAATGGGGTTTCCTAAGGAAAGAACAGGTTGTTTTTCTCTGAAGACCTTCAGGTTGAAGAGGGCTGGAACACCCTTTACTGGGGAAGTTGCAAGTTCTTGGCATTTAATCTTTTTAAAAAATTTATTTTATTTTTAATTCATGGAACAAAACAAGCATTTCCATAGCACAGTCCAATAAAAATATGATTGCATGTGAAACTACAAGTCTATCATATACAGCTTGCTGTCCTCTGCATATGTGGGTGAAGTGGGGGGGTAGGAAGGTGGGAGGAGAAGATAAGGTGACAGGGATAGGGTAAAAAGAGAGGCTGAGAAAGGAAATAGTGAGTAAAAATAGAATGGAGGGAAATTGGGATTGAATTTTGATCATATAGGGATTAGATTAGTGGGTCTCTTCCAACTCGATGCTGTGCATTGCTCAGGATGATAGAAATGGTTTTGTTATGTAAAACTCAGTGAGCTCATTTTTTCCGTGTTTTACAGGCAAGTTTATTAATGGTGTTTTGTAGGAATATAAGAATGGCTGTCATTTCTCTAGTACATGGAGGTTTATGAGGCATTTTCCTCATGATAACCCTGTGAACGTGAGATCTCAGAGTTGCAGCTGGAAGGGACCCTACAAATGAATTAGTTCAGCTCTCTTATTTTAGAGATGAAGCACTGAGACCCAGAGACCTTAAGTGACTTCCTTTTGTTTCTCGGCTTTTTTTTTTTTGGGGGCTAAGCAATGAGTTTAAATGACTTGCCCCGGGGTCACACAGCTAGTAAGTGTCAAGCGTCTGAGGTTGGATTTGAACTCAGGTCCTCCTGATTCCAGGGTCAGAGCTCTATCCACTGCTCCACCTAGCTGCCCCAAGTGACTTCCTTTTCAATGACTTGCCCAAGGCCACACATGTAAGAAGTAGCGATGTGAACCTCAGTCCTCTGACTTTAAATGCAGAATGCTTTTCTTTGTTCTATGCAGGAGGTGGAAACATTGTTCCCTTTCTACAGACAGATATAGTGAAGTGAAGTGACTTGCCTAGAGTCATTCAGCTAGTAAGTGTCAGGATTCAGGTTTTGAACTCAGAACCTAGAATGCCAGAACTGAAAAGGAGTTTAGTCTAGCCTACCACTTCTATTTTACAGATGAGGAAACTGAGGTCCAGAGAGGGAGAATAATTTGACCAAGTCTACATGGCTAATTAATAACATGGCTTAGACTAGAACTCAAAATATTGTTGAGGTTAATGTGTTGATCTGTGTAATTGCTCGTAAGTGAGTTTACGTGCTCTTCAAAATGCACTTTATCTTTCCTACTTACTCTAAAATCTATGATGGTGGGAAAGTCATAGTCAAGGGTATGGTTTAGTGTGCTTCAGATTTGGGTCCCTCCAAACTGATAAACTCCCTTTGCTTTCTCTTGCCCCCTTACCCTCTGCAGGTGAACCTGGTACTTGGTGAAGGGAGGTCCCTGGGCCTCATGATAAGAGGAGGAGCAGAGTATGCCTTGGGGATTTATATCACTGGTGTGGATCCAGGGTCCGAAGCAGAAAGCAGTGGTCTCAAGGTGAGAGCTATCCTAACAATCCCATGAGCTTCAGTTTGAGTGGGGAGAGATGGGATATCTTTGCTACCTTTACCTTTACTTGATAGTAATCAAATTGTTATTTTGTTAAGTTATTTACAGTCATGTCTGACTCTCTGTGACTCCATTTGGGGTTTTCTTCGCAAAGATACTAGAGTGGTTTGCCATTTCCTTCTGCATCTCATTTTACAGATGAAAAAGTAAGGCAAACAGTGACTTGCCCAGGGTCACACAGCTAATAGGTGTCTGAGGCTGAATTTGAATTCAGGTCTTCCTGACGTCAGGCCCAGTGCCCTATCTGCTGTGACACCTAACTACCTTGGTAATCAGATTGATTGCTGGGCTGAGTCTAGCGGTCCTGACTTATTTGGCTATACCTTGGGCTTGGTAGCATTTTAAACAAATGGTAAAGATTTTAACAAATTTTTTAACCATTTTAAACAAATGGTTAATGGTCACAGTGGTAGGGCCCTTCTTACACTAGTTGTCAAGCACTTTGGTGATGCTCTGGGAAAGGAATGCAGCATCCCAAGTGATAGGGGCCATCTGGACCCAAGCAGAGGTGTCTGCAGCTCCCATCAGGCACCAGCACAACATGACTCTTCACCTTCATCGCGCCATATCTAATCTGTTGTGAGGTCCTCCTGATTCTGCCTATGTAGCATCTCTCATCTACACCCCTTTCTCTTTTCTGACTCTCAGCACCCTAGTGTAGTCCCTCATCACCTTATGCCTGGACTATTAAAATAGCCCTCTGGCTGGTCTCCCTGCCTCCAGTCTGCCCTCCATCCACTCTATCCTTCATTCAGCTATCGTAATGATCTGTCTAAAGCATAAGTCTAACCATGTGTCTCCTTCTCCCTATTCCCCCAATAAACTCCAGTGGCTCTATGTACATAGTTTATTATATGTTTTCTCCTCCATTAAGATGTAAAGGCCTTGAGGGCAAAGATCTTCTTTTTGCCTTCCTTGTATCTTTGTGTATGTGTGTGTGTGTGTGTGTGTGTGTGTGTGTGTGTGTGTTTGTTTGTTTGCCTAGGCAGTGGGGTTAAGTGATTTGCCCAGGGTCATACAGCTAGTAAGTGTTATGTGTCTGAGGCTGGATTTGAACTCAGGTCCTCCTGCATTCAGGACTGGTGCTCTATCCCGTGCACCACCTCGCTGCTGCTACTTCCTTTGTATCTTCAGAGCCTAATATCATGTTTGCCCAATTTGTTGTTGTTCGGTTGTTTTCATTAGTGTCTGACTCTTAGTGACTCCATTTGGGGTTTTCTTGGCCAAGTTACTGGTGATTTGCCACATCCTTCTCCAGCTCATTTTACAGATGAGGAAACTGAGGCAAACTGGGTTAAGTGACTTGCCCAAGCTCACATAGCTGGGAAGGATTTGAGGTTGGGTTTGAACTCAGGTCTCCTTGATTCAAGGACCAGTGCTCTATCCATTATGCCACCCAAATGCCCTTTTGCTCCATAAAAGTGCTTAATAAGTTCTTGTAGACTGACTGACCAAACACATGCCCCATTCACAGCTTCTGATTTCCATGGCCTCTGGTGTGCTTACTGGTGTGCTTGTGGAACAGAGTGGAGAAAAATCCATGAGCTAGAGCCCTATTTGACGATTACAAGATTGCTTAGGGCTTCCAGGCTCCTAGAAGGTGGGGACTGAGTCTCTGTCATTGTCATGAACTAGTACTGTGTTAAGGAGACTAAGTACTTAATGAGGATTTTTTTTTTCTGATGAAGGTAGTCCCAAGGGGGAAGTTGGACAAGCCTCTGTACACAGTGGATGCCAAATAAATAGTGATTGACTGACCCAGCGTTGTGGAGTCAGATGAAACCCAGGGTGTGGGCCTGTATGTCCTTCATTTTCTAATTTCTGTCGCTGTAGCTAACCACCAAGTTTTGAGACATGAACTCTGAGGAGTAAGGCCGCTTATCTCTGCCACTGCTTTTTAGAGACGTTGCGTAATCTCTGTGGGATTCATTTGAGAACAATATAGATCAGACCTTGGTGATGGATGGTTTATTACTTAGCCTGGCAGATAAGGCCCCACATCTGTAGCCTGGAAAATTTTCATCACCTGAACTCATGATTCCATTTTTACTCCCTCCTGCTGAAGGGTACAGTGGGGGAAAACATTTTGCTTGAGAGAGCTCAGAGACCTAGGCCTCACATGCCTTTAACTGTGCCAGTTTGGGCAAGGCAATTGACCTTGGTGGGTCCCAAGTTTCCTCTTTTGTGAAATAGTCACAGGCACTAGCTACAGGGGATGGAGTCAGGACCCCTGGGCCCTGCCTTATAGATGTGACTGTCAGCAAGTTCCTTACCTGCTCTGAGCCTCAGTTTCCTTATCTATAAAATCGGGATGCTATTACTTATATTGCCTATCTCACAGTGCTGCTGTAAGTGCTCTTATAAACCTTAAAGCATTATAGATACCTGAATGCCTCTTTTTACAGAATTGAAGCAGCTTAATGGACCTAGATTGTCTCCAAGGTCTCCTGTATCTGTGATAATGCTCATACCTCTTCTATCCTCTTTCTTCTAAATGGACTAAGAAAACATCAACATTTTCCTGTAGCAAACACATTCTAAGCACTTAAACAAAAGCTTATCCTGGAAATTGGAAATAGCCTGCCCCCTCCCCCTCTTCCTCCCTTCCCTCCACCTCTACCCTTCCCCATAATCCTTCTCCCCCTCTCTTTTATCCAGCATGGTAGTGGAAAGAGTTCTGGATCTAGAGTCAAAGGTGGTGGTATTCAAACCCCAACTCTGCTTCTTATTACCTCTGTCACTTGGGCCTCAGTTTCCTCGTTTGCAAAATGAAGGGTTTGGACTAGATGACATTTAATGTTCCTTCCAGCCTTAAACCTATTGTCTCTCCCTCTATCTCTTTCTTTCTCACAAATAACTTCTAAGGATAGACATTATAGGGAGAATGTTTATTTGGCTACTTTTCAAGAAATTCTATAGAGGCATTGATGACTTTGGGCTTGTGATTACATTGTGGGCAATAAAATGCTTTATTTGCACATAAAGTGCCTCTCACAAAGCTTTTGCCTTCTATAATATCAAATGCAGTAAAGTATTTTATATTCTTCACCACTGTTACTGCTTTCTCTTGAAAGCTCTTTCAGATGTGTGAACATCTCCATACTTTGTGTTTTATCAGAAGTCCATTCGACTAATGTACTTTTCAGTGTGGATAATTGCACTGCAAATACCTAGGAAAAAAGGAGATTGATCCTGTAGGTGGCAAGCCAATCACATGCATTATTTGTAAATAGTTTTCATTTTTGGCTAATGAGACAGCCCTCCGGGGTGAAAACGCCAACTCTTCCTGCAGGGCTCTGAGCTTACAGCCTGCCCAGCTCTGGGAGGGCCTGGCTTGGAGCCATCGTCAAGGAGAAGAGCCCCACCTACCTTCCCACCCACCTACTTAAAGTCTCCACTAGCTCTTGCTTGGGTTGCTAGGCGAGCTGCTTTTCTCTAGCAGTTACTCTTAGGGACATCAAGGCACCACTGGAAGCAGCATTAAGGCTTTCAAGACCAAGAGAAAATCTTTTCTGAACTGTTGCATCACCGTGGGAAACTCCAGTGGAACCAGGGGAGGAGGGAGTAGCTAAGGCCAGGAGAGACTCTGGCTCATTGGAGGATGTGGACTGTGCTTGAATCCAAATGAGACCCCAGAAGGGGGCTTTCAGAAGGGCTGCCATACCTTTCCACTTAAAAGGTGGAAAGAACAGGTTTTCTTGACAGTAGCAGTTGAAACAAACCATGTAAGAAAGATGTTTCAGGAAAACTTGAAAAAGAAAATCATGCTGTCTCAGGGGTTCCTGGGTTCTTATCTGGCAGGAAATACTTTTCAGACCCAAGTATAAGCATCTCAGGTCTTTGCGTGTAGCATTGCCAGCTGCCTGTCTGTATCGAATCTCCTTTTAGATCTATCCTCTTTTTCTTATTCTCACTTTTCAAATGTCATCCTGTCTAGGACCCAAGATAAATCACCTTGAAACCCTTTCTCTTCTTTTTAAATGCTATCCATGCATTCATCTCGTCCAACCTGTACATACCCCTGATAAGTATTCATCCAGTTTCTTCCTAAGACCTTCAGGGTTGGGGAACTTCCCCTCCAGGCAGCCCATTCCCTTTGAACATCTCAAATTGCTAGGAATTTTTTCCTCACACAGAACTGAAATTTGCCTCAATGTTAATTTCTACCCACTGTTCCAACTACAGAGGGTGATCTACTCTCTAGAGCCAGGTGGAACAAGCCTACTCCTCCATTTGCCTGATAGCCCTTTAAAAGCTGAAGAAAAATATCAAACACATCCCCTCTTCTTCTCTTCTTCAGGCTAAACATGATGCTACATTGAAGCAGTCAGATGGCCCAGATAGCATGCTGGACTTGGAGTCAGGAGGACCAAAGTTCAAATCCAGCCTCAGACACTTACTTAACTGAGTGTCCCAGGGCAAATCACTTAAGCTTTCTCAGCCTCAGTTTCCTCATCTGTAAAATGGAGATGATACTAACCCCTACCTCACAGGGTTGGTGAGATTAACATATGTAAAGGGCTTTGAAAATCTTAAAGTGCTATAAAAATATTGTTATTATTATTAACAATGTTCATTGTCACAGTGTGCAAGTAAGGGACAGGCCCACAGTATTTCTGTCCTGTCTAGTTTCTGCATCAAGTGTCAGACATCACTCAGAACACCAGGATTCAAACAAATAATCATATCTATATCTATATACAGATAGATATATAGATATATCTAGGTATGTATGTATATGTATGTGTGTGTCTATTTGTAGGTATAGATGTAAGTAGGTATGTATATGTGTCTGTATATACACGTGTTTTTGAATGTATGTGTATATACACACACACATACATATATACATACACACATACTTATATTCCAGTAACCCCAGTTAGAAGCCATTCTCAAAGTGATTAAAAGCAGTTCAGAAGGATAAAAGCTACCTACAGGAAGGTTAAAAGTAATAGTAAGGAGGTTCCCTGGGATCTTAGGAGCTCCCGAACTCCTTAAAACTGCTTTTATATCCTTCTTGCCTGATGGACCCACAGCTGAGTCCTAGATCAATCCACCTCAGGGCTAAGTTAACCCAAACTGGCCCAGTTGGGCACTTCAACTTTCTCTCTCACGATATTCTCAGCTGGTTTTGTGTGGGAGTGTTGATATTAACTCACGTATCCACAGTTCCCCCACGATCCCGGTGCATAAAAACTTCCCAACTCCCTCAATAAGGATTTTTGACTTGAACTCAACTCCAAAGCTAACTGGGGAAATTAAAGCTTCTCTCTCCTGAATAGAACTAGGAACTAGGACTGGGACAAAGAGAGATTTGGTGTTTATTTTATTAGAGAAACCAGCTCAAGAGGTACTGTCACCCTTTCTAGTTCATTTTCAGCAAATCTTGCTAAAAGACAGTGACAATTTATATCCCTGACCAGGGTGTCAGCCTAGCCATTTAAATCTACTCTCTTTGAGACACCCGCATTCCTCTGAGATAAACCAACAAGCAGATACAGCGGTCTCTGAGGCTGCCTTCCAGAATAATACCACTGGGTTTTCTGTGACAGGAGACAGATCTCTCAAATCAGCCTAATTTATTCGTGCCTTTTGCCAGTCTACCCATGTTCTTTCAGAAACTCCAGAGTCTCTGAGATTTAAGTGAGTGGAGAGGGAAAAAAGAATTCAGAAACATGTACCTACCTGGCCCAGGCTAGTAATCGTTCATTTCCACTGTCAGTGATTTGGTGCCCCTCCTGACACTCCATTTCCTTCACAGGGGAGGCAGCTTAGCTCAGTAGAAAGAAGGTTGGACTCCAGAGCCCTGGGTTTGAATTTCAGCTCTGATGTTTATTAGCTGTGGAACCTTGAGTAATTCACTTTCCTTATCCTTGGTTTCTATTGTTTTTAAAATAGGGATGATAATAATACCTGTGTTACCTGCTTCACAAAGTTGTTTTGAGGAAAGCGTTTTCTGAAACCCCTGTGACAACAAACGTCATCTTTAGACAATAGCTTCTTGGTTCAGACTGACATTTGTTTTATAACATTTCCCTGAACTCACTACCATTTCAAAATATTGATCCCGTTTTAAAGAGAGAGAAAGCACACTGGTGGAGTACTGAACTGGAAGATGGGTGGATGAGTGGGCTTTGTCACTAACCAGATTCGTGAATCTTGGCAACTTAATTTATATAGGGGACAGTTTCTATAGTCCTGCCCCTGCCTTCAGATAATACCTCGTCTATTTACTGTATACACATTTTATATTTACTTGTCAGTATATATATATTGTTTTACCTGATGGAAAATAACCCCCTTGAGGACAGGATCTGTTCAGTTTTTATGTTTATATCCTTAGGAGCTGGCATTGTGCCTGTCACATAGCAGGTCTTCAGAAAAGACTGTTAATGTTTCATTGGTTGATTGATCTGGAAAAAGAGAGGTTTGGACTGAAGGTCCTTCCGGCATTCTGTGATCCTGTGAGTCTAGACAGAGCAAAACTAGAAATTGATATTCACTATCTTTCTCCTTGTGTGTATGTACACACATACACACACACACACATACAACACACACACACACACATGTGCTTTCTCCCACCCCACTCCTACTCCCTCCATCATTTCCTCTGAATGAAATATGAGGAAATGAGTCCCTGAAATATCTTGTTATTTCCCCGGTTCCCCCTTTCACTGAGCAGCAGTTGAAGAGGTCTCCATGTCAGTGCTGATGCCGCATTGTGACACTCCCATCAAACTCTGGGCTTATTGATTTTTAATGTTGCCGAGGCTCGGCTGTTTTCTCCAGCACTGCTTGGTTGTTCACCAGATGTTGGTATCCATTTAACATTATGCTCTGTGCACTCCTTGGAATTCACTGATTTGTGTACACAACATGCTATGAATTGAAAACATGTGAAGAAGGAGGGTTGAGAGGAGGTAGAGACCCTGGGTTAATGTAAATCATCTTTGTTGATTTCCAAAATATACAGGTGAATGGCTTGTTTGAATCCCAGGAGTTATGACTGATACTAAACTTTGATGGTAAAATAAGCATTTATTGATAGGCCTGTGAAAGAATAATGCATCTCCCCCCACCATTGGTGTGCAAGGCACGGTATGTATGTTACAGCTTGGTCTACCTTGTGTATCACTAGAAAACAGGAATCTCTTCAGCTCCATCTCTCATTTATGGGATTTCTCCTTAGAATGGTAGTCTTGGGCTTTTTCTAAAATGAGGCACTTTATTGGCTCTACCCACTGAACTTTTAGAAGGCTCCTTTGCTGAGCATGATGGAGACATGGATTGTAGGATTATACATTCAGTGTTGAAAGGGACATTGGAAGGTCCAACCCTCTTTTTTATAGATGAGAAAACTGAGGCTTACAGAGGTAATGGACACCCAGGTAGTAAATGACCAAGGGCTCCTGTATACTCTTCTCTGAGCGTTATGTCTTCATATAGAGGAAAGAATCATAAATTTAATGTCTGTAGATCCAAGTTCAAAGTCCAGATCTATTACTTAAAATCTATGTAATCTTCAATAAGTCATCTTACTTCTCTGGCCTCAGTTTCCCCATTTGCAAGATGAGGGGATTGGACCATGAATGGTCCAATTTTAGAGCTAAGGTTCCTTTTAGCTCTAAATATATGACTCCAAGAGGGAACAAGTGGGTTTTGTTTAAGGAACTGCTCAAGAAAAAACCTGGTAGGATTTACTGAAAGAACCCCTCTCTCCCAGAAGGCAGTGAAGTTTTTGTTCACCAGTGATGATTATGAGTGGGTGACTGAGAATTTCAGTCTTTTGTTTCATCCATTAATTCTTCCCCCTCCCTCTCCCCTACTCTTTTTTCTTTTCTATGTGTAAATATCTTTGCATATCATATATGTATATATATATGTATATATATACATATATATATAATAGTATATGTGCACGTATGTGTATGTGAATATGTTTTTGTGTGTTTGGCTGTATTTACTTCCATGCACCAATTTCTCTGTAACTTGCTTTATTTATATAGTACTTTTTTTTACTTCTGTCTTTCATATCTGTTTCCTCACATGGCCCTCATAATATCTATGTGAGGTAGGCAGGACAGATATTCTTATATCCTTTGTACATAGTGAGGAAACTTGAGGGAAGATTGTTGACTAGCCAAAACTCCCACAGCAGGTAGTACAGTTGGGGCTAGGACCCAGAAGATCTGACTTTTAGCCTCATAAGGAGAGAATCCTTGAAGGAATTGGGAATAGCTGAAGAGGAAATAGGCCATAGATTGGAAAGATTCCCATGAGACTAAGATAACACCAGTGTTTGCTGTTAGTAGAAAACACATATAGGCTCCCTCGACTCTTAATACAAACAAAATATTTATAAAGTGCTTAGCATAGCAATACCTAGCACATAGTAGGCACTTAGTAAATCCTTCCTTTCCTCCCACCCTTGTTCCTTCCTTCTCTCCCTCCCTTTTTCTTCCTTCCTTCCTTCCTTCCTTCCTTCCTTCCTTCCTTCCTTCCTTCCTTCCTTCCTTCCTTCCTTCCTTCCTTCCTTCCTTCCTTCCTTCCTTCCTTCCTTCCTTTCCTCCCTCCCTCCCTCCCTCCCTCCCTCCCTCCCTCCCTCCCTCCTTCCTTCCTTCCTTCCTTCCTTCCTTCCTTCCTTCCTTCCTTCCTTCCCTCTAGTGTAGGCCTGCACAACATTCAGCCCATGAAAGGATTTCGGGTCATCCATAAAAGGATTGCGGGCAGCCAGCAAAAAATGTAGAGGATGTAAAACAGGCTTGCACAACATACCACTCGTAGGCCACTTTGGCAGACTGCAAGCCATTCATGGGCCATCTATCTATCTATCTATCTATCTATCTATCTATCTATCTATCTATCTATCTGTCTGTCTGTCTGTCTGTCTATCTATCTGTCTATCTATCTATCTATGTGGGGTTTTTTTAGGCGATTGGGGTTAAGTGACTTGCCTAAGGTCACACAGCTAGTAAGTGTCAAGTGTTTGGTCTGAGGCCGGATTTGAAATCAGGTCCTCCTGACTTCAAGTCCTGTGCTCTATCCACTGTACCACCTAGTTGCCCCTATCTATGCGTTTTCAATCTCAGTGTTTGATCTAAGAAAGACAAACATGATTAGGTTGTGTCCATAGTTTTATTTCTCTCAAAGCTGACATGCATGAGTGGATGCAGTCTGGAACTGGGCTCCTTTTGGATTTTGTGGACACAGTTTATATGCACAGTTTATATGTTGTACAGGCCTGCTCTAGTCCTTGGATGTATTTGGATGGAAATGGACTACCTTCCTAGACCTTTCTGAAAATGGAAACGGGTTTTCTTTGGTTTCTGCCTCCTAGTGCCTTAGACATCAGCTCAAGTTCTACCTTGTCTTGTTTCACCTGTAGTGGATAGCTTGAGATTCACATGTTTACCAGAATAGCTCAGCTCCCCTCTCCATCAAGATTCTTTTCTCTTTCATGTGACTTATCACATTATAGATTAGAAAACAGTTCCTGAAGGGAATGGAAAATATAAGATACAACATTAAATTCCTGACTGCCTGACATTTTGCCACTTTTAGAGGGGTCTGAAATCTAAACTCTCCAGAAGTTGATCCATATTTTGACCTTTACTTTTGCCAAGAGAACAGACATGTCTAGAGACTGTTTGAAGAAGAAGTCTGTCAATGAAAGTCACAAAGAAGGAAAAGTGAACAGACTGTCTATGGAATGGATGGCAGTCTCTACTCTGCTATAGAAATTGGAGTTTTTTCCTGTCTTCTTGCCAGGTGAAACTTTGGGTGTCATGGTCACAAAGGGTATTTCTGAGGTTTTTGACATTGTCCTGTATTGCTCTGAAGAAGCCGAGGTTTCCCTGAGAGGAAAAAGAAAGAGAAAGGCAAAAAATCTTGCAACGTTCTTTTTCAAAATTCTCACCTCTCTGTGGCTCTCCAATCTGTCTTTTACAGTAGAAGACCTATACGGGTCATTGCTGGTTCCCCCTTGAATTTCCACTTCTCTTTGGTACCTAGAGATGACAGGAAAGTGAATGGGAAAACACCTGTAGCTTATGGCAAATTAGTGTTACATTTAGTTGGACTAGTGTTGCACTGATCCCCATTGAGATGTTTTTCAGTTGAATGAGGAAACGCATGTGGCCAGAGAGTCTGTGGCATCAGAGAAGGCTACTAAGAGGTCCCATGTCCTGGATCTCTGCCCTGAATGAGCTCCAGGTGGCAGAGCCACTTTCTTCCTTTTAACAAAAGAAATGAAAAATTATAAAAAAAAATCCATTCATCTCTTCTATTTGTATTGTTCTTGGAGGATTTTGAGGGTTGGAAGAGGGACTTTTAGGGTGATCTTGGAAAATCACATCCCTTTTCTGGACCTCAGTTTCCTTAGCTGTAAAATGAGAGACATTCACTAGATAATCTCTGAGATCCTGTCCAGCTCCAATATTCTAGGTCCCTTCTGGCTTAAACATCTGCTTATAAAATTCTTAACCAGTTAGATTTCTAAGGTCTCTTTCAGCTCCCATTTTTTATAAACCTATAAATTTTAGTCCAGCCTCCTTCCCAATGCAGAAATCTCTTCTGCAGCTGTAGAGGGTTGGAACTATGGAAGGGATTATAATATCATAACATTTTATCAATTAACGAGGGCTTATTGAGTGCCCACTGGGTTTCAGATACTGTAATAGGTGCCATAACTGTGAGTTGTGAACAGGTGGTTAAGTGCATGAAAATATGTTCATGACAAATCTAGATTCCTTGCTAGCTAATAAAAGGCTTTGTTCACATCTGATGTTATTGAAGACCTCAGAATATAAATTTGGCGTGTGCAAGATGAGTATCCTTGCACCTCTAGCAGGGATAGGAAGCATAGTTTCCTCTCTATTTTGCCATAATTTCTAGCTTGTTTTTCTGAAATTGCCTCTGAACAGATCTTGATAATAAATTGTAAAAGTTCAAAGTGCCTGGTCCCTCACGCATGATTAAAGGAGCACCATCTAGTACTATAATTACTTCCAGTTACATGGCTGCAAAAATAAAAGAGAGAAACTAAAAACTCTCATGAGTCAGGCAGTGATTATAAAGTTGAAAGGGCAACCACAGGCTTACCTTGTGGAAAGGAAAATGAAAGGCTTTCATAGTAAAAGGCCCACGTACTCCATCCCATGCATTGAGAAGCTCAGATGGGGGGTAGAATAACACCTCTGTTCTCATCTGAAAGGTCCTCAGTGGTGAGAGCAGTGTGAATATTTGAGGGGCTGGTCGTCTGACCCAGGGTCACTTTCTTCCAGTTATTTGATTCTAGTTCAGTCCTCAGTCAGGGGCTCGTGACAGGCCAACACCTTTATTATAAAATGTTCAGCACATAAAATGGAAAAAAAAAAAGAACTGATAAAAGGGTGGGCGGAGAAAAAAGTAGAGAAAAAGTGATGGGAAGAAAGAAATTGTTCCCTGATATTATTCAGAGACATAAAATGTCTTAGTAGGAAGGGACTTGGAACTTAGAACAATGCAACCTAAAACATAGCATGTTAGATTTGTGAGGTAGATGTCCAAGACCACACATTTTATAGAGGAGAAGCATAGGCCCAGAGAAGGGAACCTACTTGAGATCACACAGAGTCGGAGTCAGGATCTGGTTGCTCTGTACACCTACCCAGACCTTAAAACAGTTGGTCCATTTGGTAGACATTTTTAAAACTGCGTATGAGGGACCTGGGAAAGATTGATCTCTTCACCCAGAGAAAAAAAATCAGATGGAAAAAGGGTATAGTGCCTGGAGAATTTAGGTTGGTATACAGATCAGTTTAGACTTCAGAGTGGTTAAGCTTTGTTGAGGTTTAAAAAATAACTAGTGAGGTTATTATTACCTAAGGACATTTCAGAAGAGGAGCAGAGCTCCTTCTAAGCCTAGCCCTGTCTCTCCAACAACCTCTTAAATTAACTCGGAGACCTTTTACTGAAAAACTTTTTCCTTTGTGAAGAGTACAAAGGAAAAAAAGAGGCTTGGGATCATAGCATCTATGAAATTGAAAACTGGAATTTTTTTTCTTTTTGTGTCTGTTTTATTGCTTTGAAAAGAGAGCAAGGGAATCCACATGTGTTGTATATATAGATATGCACACACATACATCTATACATGTACAGATGTACAAATAATCTATATATGCATGTGTATATACATATAATATACATATATAGTTGCACATAGAATGCATATACACACATATATACACAATGTGTTGTAGATATTTTAAATGTGTACATGTAAATGCATACATACATATATATGTATATATGCATATATCTATATATCTATATCTATATCTATATCTATATCTATATCTATATCTATATCTATATCTATATCTATATCTATATCTACATCTATATCTATATCTATCTATATACATTTTATATGCATACACTAAAAAATCCTGGGATCCAAGTATAGCTATTTGCTATTTGCAGCATGGTGATGTGATGCTTGAAATTTGTAACCTTTCTTAAGTAAATTATGTGAATAATCAATTAATTCATAAGCATTTATTAAGCACCTACTATGAGCCTGGCTGTCTAGATGCTAAGGATACAAGTAGAAAGAATGAAACAATGCTGACTCTTAAGGAGTTTACATTCTAACAGAGAATACAGGGTAAATATCAAGAGGATAAATGCCACAATATACAAAGTGGTTAAATGTAAGGTAGTTTGAGAGGGAGAATGCCCAAGCAGCAAAATAGTAGTGACTGCAGCCCCTTGAGAAAATTATTAACCAGATGCTTAATTCAAGCGTTAGAACTTTCAAATAAATCGTTCCCTTTCTGGTAGTTAAGTAGCTTGGGAAGCACATTAGGCAAGTCTGTCATATTTCGATGGCTATGGAAATTTAACTCCCCATGATTGTCTGTGGCAAAGGTCCCATAAATACGTGCACGTAATCACCATGTTTTTGCTTATAATCCTTCTAGAGAAGTTTCTTTTCATGTGTGACTGGCCTGAGGGGCATACTGGAAAGACTCTGAAGGCCTGGGTTCTATTTGTGGCTTAGCCTCTAAGTTTCTAAGTCACTTTGGGCAAATCATTCTGTGTTTCTGGGACACAGAGATCGTCTAGTTCAAACTCCTCATTTTTACAGATGAGAAAACTAAGGGTCCGCTGGCCTCCAGCATGCTATAGTATTATTTCTTCTTTTTTTCTGTTTATTTTTTAAACATTTTTAAAAATTTCAAGTTCCAAATTATCTCACTCCCTTCAGCCTCTCCTCCAACCAATGAGAAGGTATGCAGTATGATGCCTGTTATACATGTGAAGTCATGCAAAACATATTTTCATATTAGCCATAATGTGCTATGTTACAGTAAGAGAATACGAAAAAGTTCTTTGTAAGCTGAAACTGGCATATTGTTACACACTATAATTAGAAAGTCTGGCCCTGGTACTCAGCATTTATTTAGTTCGTTAAGGTTTGCAAAGGGTTATAAATATTATCTCATTTGATCCTCACAACCCTGGGAGGTAGGTGTTATTATTATCTCCATTTTACAGATGAGGAAACTTAGGCAGGCATAGTTAGTAATTGTCTGAGGCTGGATTTGAATTCAGGTCTTCCAGACTTCAGTTCCTGAGCTTTCATGTAGCTGCCTTTAGGCCTTACTAGATGGAATTCTGAGTCTGAAGTTAGGAAGAACTAGGTTCAAATCCTGCCTCTGACATTTATTAGCCGTTTCCAAGGAGAAGTCAGTTGATTTCTCTGTGCTTTATAAACTTCAGCACTCGTGAAATGAAATGTAAGGTCAAGTGGTCAGTCAAGTAAATAAATTTTGATTAAGTACTTACTGTGTGCCTGACACATGGTAAGTGTTAAGAGCTGAGGATACAAAGGAAGGTAAAAAACAAGGTTACTCAAGGAGCTCACATTCTAATGAGGAGATGACATGCAAATAACTATGTATGTACTGGCTGACTCTTTCATTGTCTGTTGTGCTGAGAACAAGAAGAAAAGAGTTAGATAAAATTCAAAGGTAATCACAGGCAGGTATTTCATTTTTATTCAGTGGGTTGAGTTCTCATTCTCTATCAAAAGATTGATCAGATTTGGAAACTAGCAGAAAAAAATGGACTGATTTGCCTTTTGACTCCTCTTTGCTACTTTTTAGGGGAGGTACAAGTAAGCAGCTAGAAGACTAAACTCATGGGGATGGAGGGAGTGATAGAAAAAAAAAGACTTCATAATCCACAATGGGGAAAATCATCCCCTGGACACCTGCGAGGTGAGACATGAGACAATTCTCATGGCACCCTGGGGGCCCAGGTTAATCCCTACCCTCTTCCACCACCTTGCCTCTCTTACTATTTAGGAAGAACTTTACTATTTGGCAAATCTGGATCTTTGGCTGCCTGTTGAATGAACAGATTGGGAACCAGGGATCTCATTTTGTCGTGCCTTGCCTGTCTCCAGCATCCTGTGTATCCTCATACTTTTATTACCTTGAATACTTACCAAATGATGGAAGGTGCTCTACATTCTTATAGAGCACCCACACAGGACAGCTGCTGTGCATTTTAGAAGTTTCTTTTGTCAGTGGTTGGCGGTTAGAGAAACATCTTGGGTGTTCTTCGGAATCCGTGAGATCTTGTAAATAAGAGTGCAAGCTACTGTCTCAGCTTTTGTCATATGTTCTGTCTACACTTATATCATCTGCTGATTTTTACCCCTTGGTATATCTATCACAGAATTTTTGTCATTAGCTCATCAAAGCTCTGCCCTTGTCTCTGTAGGTCACTGGTTTGCCCCAACCCTCTTTCCAGTAGTTTCCTTCAAGCCTCCTTCATAGGGACCATGTTAGCAGCTTTCAGAACTGTGGGAGAAAACTTATGTTGTCTCATTAAAACTGCATTGCTATCTTGTATCCCCCAAAAAAGCCATTAAAATTTTATACCTGACATGGAAAACTATTAAAGATTCATAATTGCAATAAAACTCTCTAATAGAATTTGAATTTTCATCCCGATAATGCAGCAGCAATCTGGGTACTGTTCCATGCAGCAAAATCCATTTCAACAATGCTATCAGAATGGATTGAAAGAACCCAGAGATAATGTTTATTGAACACTCCCTTCAAAGCCACTTGTCTCTGTCCCTCATGCTCTTATCCTGAGAGGATGACGTTCCCTTCTCCAAGCTTGGCTCATAGGATCAAGTTGTTGGCTTCTCTCTCCTCCCTCCCTGGCAAATGCCTCCCACCCACACCTCCAGTACGCGCGCACACACACACACACACACACACACACACACACACACACACACAGCAAACAGCATCTCAGCAGCTGAGTTGTGAAGGCAGGAGCCCGGGCATAATCCTGCCTTTTTTTTTTTTGAGTCCTCAGAGCATCTTGGAATGAAGATTTTTACCCTCCCTCACCCCAACCCCTTTCCTCTTCTTTCTGGATTGATACTCAAGGAGTGCATATTGTAATGTAATGGTATGGCAAAGTGGCTAGACTGTTTTTTTTTTTTCCGGACTTCCATGGCTGAGTACAAAAGGCACTTAAATGGGTCAGCTGGACTTTTCCATTTGTCATTGTCATAACTATAATACAGTGGCTGGATGAGAGAAAAGTACGTGAGTAGATAGGAAGTTCAAAGGAGAATGAAGGAATAAACCAATGAAAATCATTTATTGAGCACCATGTGCCAGGAATATCTTTTCAAAAAGTCTTTATTGAGCAGAATCTGTATTCTCAGTTTAAGGTTTGTATTCTAAAATGGGTATTTTGGGAAGAGAATTGCCATTGTGGAGAAAGTTATTTGTAACTGGGGGCAAGCTACAAGTGCTATAGAAAGGAACACTTGATTGTGAATTTGGGGAGGAGCTTATGTATATCATTTCCCCAAAAAGAGGGTAGGGGATAGGGGGTCAGTATGGAAATAAATGACATCTTCATCACAACTCAGACAAAGTTATTCCAAAAATCCCTTTCAGGAGACAGAGAGAGAGAGTCAGAGACAGAGACAGAGAGACTGAGACAGACAGAGAAAGAGAGAGAGAGACAGAGAGAGAGAGAGAATTGAATGACTGTAGAAAACAAGTAGTTTACTTAGTAGAAGTAAATAAGGCTACTGCCTTCATTTGGTGGCCTTTGTGCACTGGGCTCTGTACTCTAGGCCATTACCTATAGGTGCTGCTCAAGTGTTTCAGGAATGTGGAGACATCTGCTACTGTCACCTCTTCTTCCCCCATGCTTGGCATTTGAAGCCTTTTACAAGCTGACTCCAATCTCGTTTCCAACCTAATTTCACGTGACTCCTCCTTACAGGCCCTACAATTTAGCCTAGTTGTTCTTCCCCATACACAGCCCTCCATCTTCTATGACTTTGCCTCCCTGTAAGGAGTTTGCTTTTGCGTAAGCTGTCCCTCGTTCCTAGAATGCTCTCCTTCCTCACCTCTACCTCTTAGAATCCCCTGCTCCCTTCAAGACCCCAACCCTCTTTCCAGTAGCTCAGGTGCCATTTTCTACATGAGGCCCTTCCTAAACTTTCTAGTTGTTAGCACTCTGCCCCAAATGCTGAGATTCCTTTATCTTCACTTTGTATGTATTTTTGACTTATTTATCTATATACATGTTGTTTCTACTAGCAGAATGTAAGATCTTTGAAAGAAGATTTTTTTAAAAAATTTGGTTTTGTTTCCTTGTTGCCTAGCCCAGTGTCTGGGCAAATAATAGGTATGTATTAATATATACCTATGTATTATAATATATATAGGTAATACACAAACACACACACACACACACACATATATATATAAATGCTTGTTCAATTGAATCGAGCCTCAATATTTTACCTAGTTTAGGATTTCAGATCTGGGACTTCGATTTGGGAACTGCCCAGAAGAATCCAAAGTAGAAGGGAATTTATTTTCATTCAGCAAACATTTATTAAGTACACGCTGTATGGTAACGGTAACATTTTCTAATGATCAGCTATGATTAACTTAGCTCTTCTCGGTAATATAGTGGTCTAAGACAAGTCCAAAAGACTCATGATGGAAAATGCTTTCCACATCCAGAGAAAGAACTGATGGGGTCTGAATGCAGATCGAAGCATACTGTTTTCACCTTTTTGGGTGCTTTTTTTCCGCCTTTGTTCTGTTTCTTCTTTTACAACATGACTAATGTGGAAATATGTTTGATATGATTGCACATGTATGACCTATATCAGATTGCTTGGGGTGGGAGGGAAGGGAAGAAGAGAGGAAGAAAAATTTGGAACTCAAAATCTTTCAAAAAATGAATGTTGAAAATTGTCTTTATATGTAATCGGAAAAAAATAAAATACTAATAAATTTTTTTAAAGTATATAGTGTGTGTCAGAGGACTCTACTAGGCACCAGCATATACAAAGTTTAGATTAAACATGGTTACTACCCTCATGCAGCTTAGAGTCCAGTAAGGGAATAAGGCACAGACACAGGTAAGTACGATACAATACAAAATATTACATGATAAAATGTGTTAGACAAGTGCAGGGCAGAGTTCTGTATGAGGCCTAGGGGGAAAATCCCTTTAGGGTCCTAATAGGAATAACGTGGGGGATGTTGGCCTTAAGAACATTAGCTGCCTGTCCTTGGGTTGTATTTTTGCCTAAGGGTTCATCTTAAGGCATTCATAATATCTTTATCAGTATAGTATGAAGAACTCTCATTTTTAATATTTTGAAATAACTTATCAATTGTTTTAAAAAGATAACTGTCACATCTCAGTGTCACCTCCCCCTCACCATCATACCAACGGAATCCTCCTTTGAAACAATGGATCACAACAATTGCAAAACGAATCAGCAAGTCTCAGAGCCCTTATTTCATCAAGTGTATTTATCTTTTGTGTGTCTCCTGCCACGCACAAGGGTGTACACATAGGAGGCACTTAGGACTTCCTGCCTGACTGATGTGAATGGTGAAATGGAGAACCACAATGGAGGCAAATGAACCCCTTAGGTTCTTCTTCCTCTGATTTCCACTCGGGGCTGCTGTCTGTCAGGCCTTCACTTAAGGAAAGAGTGGGGGTGGGGTGGAGTTAGTCTCTAATCATTACCAGAGAAGCCAAGATTATGCTGTCTATTCTGTCTGCCTGAGACAGACTGCACTTGTTCTCAAGAGTTATTTGTTATTTTTGTCTTGGCTCTGGGGCAGGAAATGTTTCAGCAAAGATGGTTGAGCATCCATTCTCTTTCTCCCTTCCTGAGAAATTGGGAGGAACTTGAATCCCAGTGTTGTATCTCCTTATCCTTTTCCTTATAGGACAAACTTTTCTTTTCAGGGTCCTAGATCACAAGATCATTGATTGAGAATTAACAGGGATCTTGGGGGCCACTGAGGACAACCGCCTCTTTGATAGATGAGGAAATGAAGTCCCACAGAGGTTAAATGACTTTCTTAAGGTCACATAGGTAGTATTAGTGGCAGAGCCAGGATTTGAACGCAGGGCTTATGCCTCTAAATCAGGGTTTTTGATCTGCTTGGAGTGTCAAGGAAATTCAGCTCTAGGTGGGGAGGTGTCATAGGATCCTAGGATACTGGAGATGGAAAGGATCTTAGATGTTGTCTAGTCCTTATTTTATAGATGAAGAAACTGAGGCCCTGACAGGGGAAGGAACTTGTCCAAGATCACACAGATAGTACTCATCAGAGTTGGAATTTGGACCCAGGGTTTCAGAGCTAGAATTGGACCCAGGGCTTTGGACTTTAAAGGGATAAGAATTCAGCTGTAGACTTCTAGTCCAGTATTGTTGCCAGTGGAATGTATTGTTTTTCTTGCAAAGTTTATGCATCTACAGGTAGCTCTTCTCTGGCTCCGAGCATTGGTAGGCACCTAGCAAATGTTTATTGAATTGAATAGCATTGGAGGTGGCGTGGTGTATTGGAAAGGGTACTGGATTTGATTTGCCACAAGGTTTCTCCCTGGAACTCAGCATGGTGGTCCAACCATGGGAAGGCAATTCTCCAAAGCTCCCTCCTAATGACTGGCCCCCATCTGTGCTCAGGAGGGAGTGCTCAAATCTACTTTAGTGTAAAGAACAGCCTCACTTCATCTGCATTTTAAACCTTTAACAAAAGCTGAGTAGGTACCAGGTGGTAGAGGCAGCAATCCCACAAAGTGCCATAGGCAGCCTACTGAAAGCTTCATTGGCTTCCCTGAGAGGGGGCCTCTTACCTGTGCTGTACCATCTCATCTGGAGCTGTCCCATCACATCCTCTTTCTCTGCAGCTCTGAAGGGTCTTCCTCCCCTCCCCTCCCACTGACTTCTCACAAGTTGCCTGTGTTTGCAGAGATGTTGGCCATGTCTCAGGAATACATGCCCATTGGCTACTGCTGCTGCCATGGAGGGCATTATTTGTAGTGATGTCACAGAATCATAGAAGCTTCTCATCATTGACTCTGGGAGCTAGAAATGCCCTTCAGAGCAACTAGTCTCTTGCAAGCATCTGCTCTATAGAATCTCTGACAGGGTCTGTACTTGAACACTTCCACTGACAGGGGACTCACTACTTCTTGAAGTTGGCCATTCCACTGTCTCATAACTCTTTTATTGTTGGTTGATAGCTCTATTTTTAGGAAGTTGCTAGTAAGCTAAAACTTTCTTCTCTATAATTTCCATCTACCATTCGATGTCTTTTCTCTGGAGCTGCACGTGAATAAGTCTAATCCCTTTTCCAGATGACAGTCCTTCAGATATTGCCACCTTCCCCTTCTCAACTAGTAGAAACTTACAGTCTTCAGTGTTTCCCAGCGAGCTTCCTAAGGTAGCAGGTTGAATTTCCAGGAAGGAGTTCAGGCCCGGAGAACAGAATGCTCTTTATAGATATCTGCCAAGCTGATTACAAAAGCTTATTATGTCAAGTCTCATCTAACCTGGACTTGTACATGAAAGAGATGCCCTCTGCCATCTGACTCTAGCCTGTGGTTCTAGCCTTTTCTTTCACTACTTCCCTTCCATGTACCTTCTAGACATAGGTTTTTGTTCTGGCTTTGATTACTTAAATAGCTTGCATGGCCCTGGGGAAGTTCTTTCACCTTTGTGCCTCTGTTTTCTCAGCTGTAAAATGGGGATAATAATTGTGACATGACTTATTTCAGAAAGGCTGTGGGGAAAGCACTTTGAAGTACTATAGAAACAAAACTCTTATTGTTGTTTCTTTCTCCTCCCACCAACACTCCAGGTATTTTTTTCATACTCTCTTATGGAGTTCTTATAACCCCAGATCCTTACCTCTCTTTCAAGGCCTGGATCAATCTCATCTCCATGAACCTGGAAATAATCTTTACCACTGTTGAACTATTATAGTGCTTATCATCTTACCACTCATGGGATGCTTGTCAATGTACTACCTTGGATTATAGTTATTTGTGTGCATGCTTATTTCTCCCTGACCAGGCTGTAACTCCATCAGTGTAGTGACCCTGCCTTGTGCCCCTCAGCCCCTGCCCCCCACGGCACTGAGCATGGGACTTCGCACATAGTCTGCTCAACATGTATTTGCTAACTGAATCAAATTCATTTTATGTGCCATAGATATGCAGAGATAATTCATGCCATGCCTGCTTTGTTTACTGAGAGAAATTGATTCACTGTCTATTGTGGGCACAGAAGAGAATAAATTCCCTGAGAACTGTTAGTTGTCCTGGGTGGAGGAGAAACTCCATGTTCTGTCTTTGGCAGCTTCCTTCATGCTTGTGTTGCACTGGTACCTGAAGGAGTTTACTTTGTCCCCTGATGGACTGCAGATGATGGAGGGATCTTACCTTATCCTGACAATGAAGGGCATTTCTGTGGTTTGCTATCACTTGGGACATATTAAGTGATAAATATTACTTCTAGAGCAAAAAATAAAATGAAAACACTTTTATTGCTTTATCCTTCAATGCCCTCCACAGCAACACTCCCTCCCCCTCCCTTCCCCTATATGGGTGATACTGATGACACTTAATTTTAGGTTTTGAAAATGTTGTCCATTTGAATGTGTGGGCAGGGGGAAGCTAACTAGGCAGATGATGCAGTCCAGATGCATTTTGTTTTGTTTTCTTGTTTCACCATTTGTTTGGTTATTTTTTCCCCCTCCTGATTAGCAAGAACAAAATATTAGCCTTGGCTTCCTGGTCTGTAGAGACTGTGAAAATTGGTGTATACTTCCTTAAATGTCAACTTAATTGTGAGTCCAGCTTCACAGAGAGCTCCAGCAAAAAAGTAACATTTCTGTGCATAAGCAAATACAGCTGCCAATGTATTTGTAAGGTACTGGCTTTTCTCCCAGGAGCTCTACTGAGATTTTTTTTTCAATATGGTAAATAGAATCATAGAATGTCAGAGCTAGAAAGAGCTTAAGAATGTTGAATATTAGATTATAGAATATATAATGTCAGTGCTGAAAGGGACTTAGAACATAGAATGTTAGACTATATTATATAGAATGTAAAAGCTGGAGAAGACCTTGGAACATAGGAACATAGAGTGTTAGGCTATGAAATATAAAATATCAAAGCTGGAAGAGACCTTAGAATGAAGAATTTTAGGCTTTAGAATCATAGGATGTCAGAACTAGAAAAAGCTTCAGAACGTAGAATGTTAGACTATAGAATATAGAGTCTCAGAACTAGAAGGGACTTAGCATGTAGAATTTTAGACTAGAATATAGAATATCAGAGCTGGAAGGGACCTTGGAACATAGAATATTACACCTTAGGATATAGTATGTCAGACATGGAACTTAGAACATAGAATGCTAGACTATCGAATATAGAGTGTCAGAGTTAGAAAGGACTTAGAACATAGAATGCTAGAAAATAGACCATAGTTATCTAAAGCCCGAAAAGCTTTCAGAAGTCATCTCGGGGGCAGCTAGGTGGCACAGTAGATAAAGCACCGGCCCTGGAGTCAGGAGGACTGGAGTTCAAATCCAGCCTCAGACACATACCACTCGCTAGCGTGTAACTCAAAGCAAGTCACTTAACCCAAATTGCCTCATTAAAAAAATAAAAAAGCCATCTCGCTCCAACCAGTTCAAGGAAACTTAAATCCAGGCTAGAGAAGAGACTTCCTTAAGTTGACCAAGAGGCAATGGAGCAAAGACAGTCTCTTGACCCCCAGGGTTGGATGCTTTCCCCCACGTGAATTCTTTTTCTGTGCCCTATCTACTTTTACCTGCACTAATCAATTCCCATGTTTATTCATCTTAGCCTTTCTCCTTTTGTTTTAATATAGCACATCCAAAGTAATCACCCTTTCCTAAGGGAATAATGAGTTACTTTCTGTAGATTGCCTCAGTTTTTTTGTTTTTAATAAGAGAAGAGCTACCAATGCTACCATTATATGTGAAGTAATCTCTTGGACCTCCTGGCTTAATCAGAAGGCTGAGTTAGAATGAAGTAAGTAATGAGGATTACTTTTTTTTGCTTAATAAAAGTGACAGAGACTTACTTAAGAAAACAGAGCATTTCACTGATATTAAACATGCATGTCTAAACCCCACAGTGACACCAAATTAGGGTAGCTGAGTATATACCCAACTGAGCAGAGTTCAGTCAGAAGACAATATGGCCATATGAAAGGTGAGTGAAAATGGGTTCCAAACCCTATGTTAAGGGCTGGGAATACAGATACAAGTAAAGAGAAAGACCTTACTCTCAAGGCTTTTACATTCTACTAGGAGAAGAAAGCATGTAATAGGGCTGTATAAAAAGACACAAGGAAAGAAGAGAAACTTGACAATAAATTGATGGAAATAAGCAGGAAAAGAAATGAAACCATCTCTATCAAACAGGCCAGGAAAGCTTTCATTTGCAGCAAGTCTTAATAGCATAAAGGGAAGTCTAATAGAAGACAGGCACAGAGAGAGGACAAATAAGTGGCAGAGAAGAACTCTTTGTACCAAGACTCAGGAGAGAATCAGAGGGGAAGGTGGGAGAGGAAAAAAAGCAGCAGAAATATTTTTTTTATTAAAATTGTTAAAGATTTTGTTATTCTGAATTTGAGAAACGCTAGCAAACATGAATATTTTCAACAAAGCACAGAAAAAGTATGATTCAGTATGTGGAATGACATATCTTATTATGCACAGCTTGGTGTTGTTTTTTTTAAGATATACGAAATTTGCCATGTTAATTCCCCAAAGCTGTTCCAATTGTCTGTGTTTCCCACTAAACCTCTTTTGTTCTCATCTGTCCTTTTGCTTTTTCTTGTTTTTCTTTTGTATTGCTATCACTAGCCCCTCTCTCTGTCAAATATTCCCTTTCCCCCCATTTTTATAATTCTGTCTCATAGTAAGGTAGCAGAGTCACTCAAAACAGATCTATGTATTGATCATGTCCAAAAGGCATGTCTCACTCTGCACCTCTGTCTATCACTTTTCTCTCTGGAGGTAGATAATGTCCTCAGTCCTCTGTAGTCATGATTGGTCATTCCATTGATCAGAGTTCTTACAGATTTCAAAGTTGTTAGTTTTTGTGATGTTATAGTTATTATTTAAACTGTTCTCCTGGTTCTGCAAACTTTACTTAGCATCAGTTCATATAAATCTTCCTGAATTTCTTTGAATCTGTTCCTTTCATCATTTCTTACAGCACAAAAATATTCTATTGTGTTCGTATACCATAATTTGTTCAACTGTTCCCCAATTTCTAGGTACCCCCTTAATTTTTATTTCTTTGCTGCAACAAAGTGCTTCTATGAGTTTATGTTTTTTAAACATGTGGCTCTTTCCCTCTTTGACTGCTTTAAGGGGCATAGATATGCTTAGTAGTGACACTGAAGTATCAAAGGGCATCCATAGTTTAGTAATTGGGGGGAGGTATTGTTCCAAAATGCTTTCCAAATAGGCAGACCCATTCACAGCTCCACTAGAAGCACATTATTCTACCTGTATTCCTACAACCACCCCATAACTCTCATTTTCCTTCTTTGTCATCTTTACCAATCTGATGGGTATGAGATGAAACCTCAGAGTTGTTTTAATTTGTAGCTCTCTTATTATAAGAGATCTGGAGCATTTTTTCATATAGTTGTTGATAGCTTGCTTTTCTTTTTTAGACATTTATTTATTCACGCAAGAAGAAACCTTTTAGCCTGTAGTTTTAGTAGAGTAGGAACTATAATTGCTAGGGAATAAAAAAGAAACATAATCAGGAGAGGTTTCATATACTATACTATCCCAGGGGTTGGCAGACTATGGCCTGAGGGCCAAATCCACCCTGCTGTCTGTATTTATTTTTTAAGCCTTAAACATTTTTTGTAAAAACCATTCTTAACTCCCAACTGAACAAAAACAGGCAATGGATGGATTTTGGCTTACAGATCCTAC